ACGTATTTAAAAAAAAAACATTTTTAGAAAATGTTTCCCAGAGTCAGTTTTCCATAAAATTCACATGAAATGGCAATCTGAACAAAAATAAATAAATAAAAAATTGAAAAACAAAGGGGGTATCCATGTACACTTGCACCCCGGTGCCAGTGTACCAATTGTTGTCATCTTGCCTTCTGATGTTCTGGCTCATGCCTTTGTCATGATTCCCAACCCAAAGTGTAAACCCAATCCCTTATAAGTCATGAAGTTTGCTCCTTAAAAATAAATCCAGTTTTCACAATGCAGATGGAAAGTTTTAATTCCCTATAAAATAAACTAAACTAATCCAGTCAAGACTGGAAAAAATCAAAGAAAATGCATTGAAAATGTAACAAGGAACAAGGAAGTCAAAATTTGTAACAACCCATTTCAATTCATAAGTACACTAATTTATATATGTTTTGTATGAAATAAAGGCAGAAATGATTCACACAAAGTATATGTTTATTCGCCACCTGTAAAGTGACCCCCCTCTTTGGGGTTTCAAAATGGGGCACAGCCTGTGACGTAGACTGGGGCACCAAAATTCACCGAAAGACTCGACTGTCTGAACAGACAACCACGTGAGGGCACGAGACTAGCCGCCAAGCCTTAAGACCACGCTGCATCGCATCGCATGTGTACATGTACACGATAACACAACATTGTGCTCACACACACATTGAATCTGCTCTGACAGAAACATGGCCGAACATGAGAATTTGGATGCAGCTTCCTATTCTTCGTCCGATTTTGACGGTAATAGTTCAGATCCATCCACCTCTGATCAGGCCAGTCACAGTTTGGAAGTCACCTCAAGTGAGAATGAAAAAGAGGTCTCGCTTGGGGCTCAGCCGTATATGTTTGAGCCTGAAGTTTCAGACCATTCCAACAGTGATTCCGCGTCCGACATGTTGGATGAAGTTTCGGAGGGACGCCTCGGTAACATCAATTGGTGAGAATTTTTTTAATGATTGTTATTTGAAAAGGGGCTTCTTTTTGGTCGATGATAAAACTGTGAAGAATTTAATGTTTCGTACTGTGTGTATATTCTAACGCTTCGTTGATAGTCTCGTGTGCATGGACCATGATGTGGGTGCACACCATGTTTCCCAGATTTCCTTCAACTGTTTTCAATGTCTTTCAACTTAGTGCAGTTCAAGGTGTGGTCTAGGCTTTGCAGCCAGTCCAGCGTTGCCGTTGCTTTTTGGTCCAAAATCTTCATTGTGCTTCAGGATTATTCAGACATGCTTTTGCACATCATGAAAAATTTCATGTCTTAAAAACTAAATGCAAGCGGCAAGTGTAGATTACAACACATGTAGGCCCAATTTGACATGTACCTGTACACAGATGTACACGTATGGCTCCAAGTATGGAGCTATTTGTAGCTCCATGCTCCTAGTACGTGTACTAGGCTACTTGTGTTTCACAATTTCTGGGGGCTCTGGCTTATTTTTTTAGGGAATGATAATTATTGGTAATTTATTACGTCTCACTGCTAACTTGAAAAGAGTTTCATATATGGACATCGCTTGACACAAACACTGAACGTGAAATTGATCTGAAAATGTCTAAGTATTTTTTAAGTAAATAGTTACATTTTTTCGCTGCTTAGATTTACTAAGATTCAGGACGTTATCACTTTCTGATGGCTAGCATACCACTGTAGAGAGAAATTTGTGATGTCTGTATATGGAGCTTTTTCCCTGAAATTCATTAAGCCTAAAAGTATTTTTTCACTGCTAGTATTCATAATTGATTTCCTGTAGGTGTGTTTGTGGTGGGTGCCAAGCAATGGCAACTGTTCCTGATTGTGTGTGCTGCGAAGAAATAGGTCAAGTTTCTCGCATGGCAGATTCATACGATGGAGCAGCACTGAACTGCATCACGCACCATCCAGGATTTGAGCCAGTCTGCCTTAACAGATGGTTCCTTGACACTGCATATTTGTGGTATAGGCAACAGTGTGGAGGTCGAGGGCAGAATGCACCCCCTAACAAGTGAGTGAAGAAATGTTTTCTTCTGGAGAAATTCATATCATGTATCTTAGGAAGAGGCATTTCCTGTTATTTTTTTGCATTTACATGTTACTATATAAGTGTTTAAAAGGGGAACAAAAGAAGACAGCATTACTAAAGGTACCTGGTGGGGACTTTATACAATTTTTTTAATTCGGACACGCGGACATGTATACCAAAATTTAGAGAAACATGGAGGATTTTTTTCAGGTGATGAGAAGCCCTGTCAAGCTTTATTGCTGGCCATGTGATTATGATATTTTCACTGGTAGAATTTTTGTTAATCATGTGGTTATGACACTTTCACAAGTAGAATATTGGGATTCCCTTGGTACTGAGTTTTAAAATATTGCCATATTCAAACATTACTCTAATCCAGCTGTTGGAGGTACATGCCTATGTATTTTTTAAAACGACTTTCTTGTTTATTCTGTACAGGAAGTACCGCCATACTGCATATAGGCAGCTGACACAGTGGTTTTGGGGACACCTTAGACGCATGGTACATGTTCCACTTCTAGCGTGTGCTGTTCGTCTCATCAGGGAGGCCTTTCCATCTGAGGACGGCGTTTATATAGGATTAATGAAGTTGAGTTGGACTTATGTAAACCAAAATTTTAAATGGGGATGTAAAGTTAGGTTTTTGACATGGTGAAAACTTCGGAAACTGCACGAGTGTATGTGCACATACACAAGATACATTTAGTAAATGCATATGCGACACAAAAATGAAAAAATCGCGTTACTTGAAATATTGTCAGAAATAGCACTAAATTAATCTAAATAAAACAAAATACACGCCTGTTAATATGTAGGACAGACTTTACTTACTGCCACACATTTTGCTGTTAAACTTCTGAGGTCGTCACATTTGTCAAATCTATACTTTCATATTACATGTACTTGTATTCTCACTTTGATTCTGTGACTTGGATTTAATATGCTCTGTGCACTGTAAAAACTATATGTATTCACTGATCACCTTCCCAGTTTTTAGAAATTCTATGCAAATTCCTTTCAACAGTTTCAGGTTTCAACAGTGCTTAAGTAAAAATACAGCAACCTGTCCAAAAAGTTCCCAGTGGGAAAAGTATTATATAGCAGTTAATGGCAATTGTTACCTCTGCCAAAAAACCAGTTTGAACATGACAGGCTAGTAATCAGTATCACACATGATATTGGGTGTTTTTCGATACAAATAAAAGCATACAGAAAATTTGAGTGTCAATGTTGACTTGTGTAAACTGCTTTGCATACTTTGTATCATATGACTGTATATGTATACAGTCAAACCTCAATAAGAGCACTGCTTTCCGTTATGAAAAGGGAAAGTTTAGGTTCTAAGTCTTTGCTAGAGTTTTCCACTCCTGTTAATACATGTACAGTGTACAGGGTTCCTGTTAACAACAATGTTAACAACAATGTTATTTTTGAATTTTCAAGGACGTCTTTGTTAAGAGGTTTGGCTACTTTTCAAGAATATTAAATCTTGATAAGTACATGTATAAACCAAACAGCAAGGACTCCACTAATTTAAAAGTAATAAAATCTGTTATGGTTGCCATAATTTAGTTTTCAGTTTCTCGATTGGAGTTCTTCTCAACAAAATCAAGTTTAATGTATTAGATATTATATTCAGCACAATGTAGGGTGCCCAATCCAACTTGATTACAATTATCAAACTGAGCAGGTTCCTTCATCACTTTTACCATGTTTACAATGCTGCTCGTACTTCAGCCTCGCAAGTGAAACATCAGGGTCCCATCCAACTTGGTGCCTTGAGACCGTTCGCTATTCTCATTGTAATGGAGAGCAGCTAAGGGCAACCTGTTGAACCAAACATTTAGGATCAAATAACTGTACGAGACTAAACACTTGGCATATACATTGTAGTATTTTGAAAGAAGTTTCAGAACATTGCCAACATAGAACCCATCAATTCAACTTTCCATTTATGCAAAGACATATATACATGTAGTCTTCGAAAATGTTTGGAACAGTTTTTTGATGACTATAATATTAGAAATTCCGGCCTGTGATGCCTTCATTTGAGAATGCCTTCGACTTTGGAGCAAACTGATTCAGCAGGCTTTGAAATGCCTCTAGTGAGGATGTCCGGGATGTTGTTGACATCTTGCAGAGATCCTTGAGAAGAAGCTTCTTTTCCAGCAGCTCGTAGAATTTCTCACAAGCTTCTGAGTCAAATAGCAATGAAGATCAAGATACACTGGATGAGAATTGCAAGAGAATGTCACGTTTAAAACATCCCATGGCGATGATACTCTTTCTTTTTGAGAACAAATAAAACAGGATAATAAAATTATATGCCTTCACAAAACTGGAAAACTACATTTTTTATAATACATTTGGGATTCTTTTTTCTGATACTTCCCAAAATGACAACCAGGTTGCCAGAATACATTGGATTTCAAATTATAATAGGAAGTCCTCTCTTCTATTAGCTCTATCATAGATTTATGAATATAAGGGGAGAAAAGAGGAGACTCAAGCAAAGAAAAGGGTGGAGTGGGGAAACTACAGATAGCAGTTCAATACTGTTTCGCTGCAGTGTGATTTAATATTTTATCAGCAAAATGCCCACTACATCATGCTAACAGTAGGTTTTGTAAGATAGTACTGGCCAACATCTGCATAACAGTCAAAATGCTGAAGTAATGTGGAATATGTATTATGAAGTTAAAACCAACCTGGCTTCAACCATTTCTTTGACCATTTTCTTATTCACCCATGCTGACATTGGGGGAAGATAGGCTGAGTGGCCGGAGTGTTTGTTCAAATTGCTCATATTCCTTTTTCTTAGCGAGCCTGTCAGCATTCTTTTTAAGTCCTACAAATGAAGCCCATTATAAAAGTGCATAAACTTTCCTTGTAGAGAGGAAGAAATTGTTTTATTTGTGGATCATGTTCCAAAGTACTGGCCATATAAAAGTACTGGTTTGACAACAGTTTAATGTGATTGTCGGATATTTTTATGAAACAGTTTTCTGAACTTACTTTTATGAAGAAATACTTTAAAAAAAATTGTCCCGGCATTGTATTACCGAGGGTGTAAAATACCAAGACTCTCAATGTTGGTCAGGCAGTGGAGCAAAAGAAAAAGAAGACTTTTTTCAATGGATATTGCCATATACAGTACATGTACATGGTCGGCTTAGCCAAGAACTGTCAAAAGTGGGTTTTTTGGGGGGGGGTTTCTCCATTCAGATCCTCGGTGAATCGGAGCCATGACTTCTATCTTTCAATGCACATTCCATTCACATCCATGGTTATTAAGCCATCTGTGCAATATACAGTTATAACCACTTATATAACATCCAACTTAACCCAATGCTAGAATATGCAGAGCCAGAAAATTTGGTGGTTCTGTTTCACAGGGCAGTGCAAAGGTTATAATTATGTGAGTTGAATGATGCACATGTAGCTCTAGGCATGTGTCAAGCGTGTGTTACAGTTAGATGCCAATATAGTGAGCTGTTTCTGGCAAAATTACACAAAGCTTAATATCAGTACCTTTTGCAACATGCCAGACATCAAATATATGAATTAAATCTGGCTCCTTCTCTCTGATGTATTTGCTTAGTTGACGATGACGGTCAGGCACGAGCTTCTCAACCATCAGGTTGGCTGCTCGCACACATACCAACATATGCTTGAGGCTCCATTTGTCCAGCATTTTTGACTTCATTGCTCTGTTTCAAAGAAAAAGCTCAATAACTCAAATATACATGGTAAAGCCATGAGGAATGTTAC